CTAGGTACAGAGTAAATCACATGTTGCTATTAATGAGGTAATAGGCTGTAAAGCCATTTCCTTCTGTGAGCCATGGGGCCAGTATGATTGCTAGTCAGCTGTGCTGCAATGTTCATATGTTGTTAAGGAACATGCTGATAGGAGGAGAGAGCTGAGTGACTTAGAACTTACTTCATCTTTGTGTTGCTTCTTCTTTCACTGTCAAGTCACAAGCTGGGGGTGGGGCAAAAACTGTAATTGTAACAGCAAAGAAAAATCAGGTCTCTTGCCCTGCCAGACTTGCTGTCCTTGGTTGCAAAGCTGTAAAACTCTAAGAACTAAATTAACTAAATTAGTTTGACTTATACATACTGCAACAGCCCCCCGATCTGATTCATTTAAGTTTGAAAAAAAAGTCAAGCAGCAGAGCATTTTTAATGATGGAGAAGTAGCCAAAATACTGTATACAGAAGTAGCCAAAATACTGAAAACAATACATGCAAGATTTTCTTTATCAGGGATAATATGCTTTACTAGTGTATGCCTAACTTACATATATAGAAATATATGTATGAATGAGAATAATATAGGGTAGTTTAGATACACACTGTTCTTGTACGTTTTTTCTTTTAAAACAATCCATCCAAGGATACATTATCTACCACCCCTCACAGAACTGGGCTTTTCCATGGGGCCGCATATTTGCGTACCTGTCTTTGTACTGGGAGTGCGCTGCACTGCACGCTCCCAGCACAAAGACCGGGGTGTCACTGAGAGCCCCGGGTCCCATTCTAATGATCAGGGCCCGGGACTCCCGATTCCGGGTCACATGATCGCTGTGATAGATTCTGATTGGCTATCACAGTGATCAGTCACTGTACAGCCCGGCCCCCTTGTTTTTTTTTTTTCTCTCTATGAATGGAGGAGAGAGATACATTGTATCTCTCTAACTCCTGGCATAGAGGGGGGAAAAAATGTTTGTTGAAAAAAAAAAAAAAAAGTTAAATAAATAAATATTGAAAAAGTAAAATAAAAAAAAAAAGATAAAATACCTAGGTCAAGGCTTGATCTAGTTCAGTGCCAGGGTAAGTGTTAGGGTCAACGGTCAAGGTCAAGATTAAAAAAAATAAAGTAAAATTGGTATTAGTATCAGTGTCAGTGTGTTTTAGGTAAACAAAACACAAAAATGCGCACTATTGTTTCTGGGCTGTACTACGGGTACAAACAACAAATAACATACACATATATGGTATTGCTGCAATTGTCAAGAGGTAGGTTATGGCAGTAACAAGAATCACACAGCTAAATAAAATAAATAATATTTTTCTTTTACTTTTTTGGGCCAGTTTTCCTTTGATAATAAAAAAAAAAATCAAGAGATATCCATTACCATTTACCACCAAATGAAAGCCCAATTTGTCCTTACAAAACAAGGTATAATTCACCTGGATGTACAAAGTAGTTGTGATGATATGTATGGTTTTACTAACACATGTCAACGTTGCAAAATTGTGCTTAGACATTAAGATTTGTTTTACCCTTAGGCGTGAAGGGGTTAAGTAAATATTGTGCTTTAACCCCTTCACACCGGCGCCTCCCGGCCCTTTAAGGGGTTTCTTACGCCGGGAGGCGGGGCAGGGTTTAGGGACATGTGACCACCGTGATTGGCTGTCATGGCGTTTACATGATCGGAAAGGTCCAGATCGCAAAAGAAGAGATCAAGACCTTTCCATGGGACAATGAGATGTGCTGGGAGCGTGCAGGGCGTGTGGTCTCAGCACGTTTGTTTAAAAAGTTTTTATTTTTATTTCAGGAACTTATATAGCGTTGTCAATTTCTGGCGCGCTTTACATATATATTGTACATTCACATCAGTCCCTAACCCTCAAGGGGTGTACAATCTAAGGTCCCTAACTCACATTCATATGTATGGGCCAATTTAGACAGGAGTCAATTAGCCTACCAGCATGTCTTTTGAGTGTGGGAGGAAACCGGAGTACCCAGAGGAAACCCACACAGACACAGAGAGAACATGCAAACTCCAGGCAGGTGGTGCCGTGGTTGGGATTCAAACCAACGACCCTAGTACTGCCAGGCGGAAGTGCTAACCACTTAGCCACTGTGCTGCCCAGTTACGCAAATATGCGGCCTCAAGAGGCTGCATATTTGCAGACACTCGGCATGAAGGGGTTAATAATTCCAAAGTTAAAAAAGCCCCATGAACATAAAATAAAGATCAAACAAATCCCCCCAAAATTCCCAAATATCACCCCTGAGACCAAAGCCCACATTTTTTAGGTATTACCTAAACTTAAGGCTCCACCGACATAAAATAATAAACAATGTCCCCCAAAAGGAATGACAACCCCCAAATACCTCAACCTGAAACAAAAGCCCATTCTTTTCTTTCTCTATGCAGTTTGACAGTTTCTCTTCAGCAGCATCCACTGCACTGAGAGTATGGCTGTCTTGTCTCCCCTGTCTTTACAGTGAGGGGGCTGGCTTATCTAAAAATACCCTATTGGCCCTTTTAAGCTTGCTGACCATAGTTCAAATGCCATGCAGTGCATGGTTTCAAAAATAATTTCCAGGGTGAATCTGTATATAAATTAGGGGAAACTGTGACTCTCAAATTCGCAGGATTTCCCCATTCTCCTATGGTACCAAACAGGGGCGGACTGACAACTCATGGGGCCCCCGGGCAATAGGGGATCATGGGGCCCCTGTGTCCTTGCACAAACTCAAAAAAGCCTATGAAAAAGGTACCGGGGGCATCTCATGGGGCCCCCTACTGACCCCAGGCCCTCGGGCAGTGCCCGAGTTTCCAAATGGTCAGTCCGCCCCTGGTACCAAACCAAACCCAAACCTTGTCCCCTATTCTCCAGGAATCAGGTGTGTAATAAGGCAATTCTATCAGCACCAAAATCTTCCCTCTCTCCTGCTCTTTTATTAGACACTTATTTCTTGTTTTAAAACATGCAGCTGTCTATCAAATGGGAAGGGAAAACACAGGGTAGGACAGGCCACACAGTTCTCTGCGGTGATAGTCTCTGCCACTTACACAAATGTAGGAGAATGATTACAAACCTAAAGTAAGGTGCAGAAAACCTATGACATCTGAGTTAAGCAGCCAGCACATTGAAAGCAAACAGGCCATAGAGAATCTTAGGGGCTGCACTTGCCTGCAAACAGTTGAAAAATCCAAGTGCAAGTTTTGCAAGTCTAAATGCATGCAGTCTGACCCACAATGCAACAAACAAGATATACCTGTGATCAAATCCCAATAGCTTGTACATGCATTTATCAGAGGTCTGTTTGCCCCATATTGGCAAAGTGTTCACAGTAGCATTTGTGTTGGCAGAGCAAAGTAAAACTGGCTGGCCAAAAGGGATTACTTTGATGCAGTTGGCCAGAAATACTGCTACAGGGCGGCACGGGTGCGCCAAATCACGTATATATATGTGATTTTGCATTTCCGGGTAGAGGGTGCGCAGGAGCCGCTCGCGCACCCTACCCACGCCGCCACTAGCGGCCGTGGCTGTCAATCACCAGGTCCCAGCCGGTAATTACCCGCTGGCGCCCGGTGATTATCGAGGATCTCTGACGGGGAAGAAGACTGTTTTGTTTACAAACAGTCTTCCTCCCTGTCAGCTTGGGCACACTGCTCGGGATGGCTGTGCACAGCACAGCCATCCTGATCAGTGTGTTTACAGTGAACCCTCCGCCCCCTAGTAAAACATTCCCTACATCAAGTTAACCTTTTGATCACCCCTCATGTTAACCCCTTCCTGTCATTAGTACAGTCTCATTTTTTTTTTTAGCTCTGATCACTATATTGGTGTCAGTGACACCAAGTTAGTTCCCCCCAGTTTCAGAATGTCTGCCGCAGTCCCGCTAAAAGTCGCTGATTGCCGCCATTGCTAGTAGAAAAGAAAATCCCAGTATCTATACCGCCATTTGTAAACACTATAACTTTCACGTATACCAATTAATTTACATGTATTGGGAATTTTTTTATCAAAGGCATGTAGCAGAATACATTTTGGCCTAAATTTATGATGAAATTAGATTTTTTAAATTTTGTTACTGGACTTGGTTAATAGCAAAAAGTCCAAAATATTGTTTTTATTCTCAAAATTGTTGGTCTTTTTTTTTATAGTGCAAATAATAAAAAACGCACAAGCAATCAAATACCATCTAACGAAAGCTCAATCGTGGGAAAAAAAAGGCCATAAATTTTATTTGGGTGCAGCGTTGCATGACCGCGCAATTGTCAGTTAAAATAACGCAGCCCCATAACTCAAAAAATGGCCTGGTCAGGAAGGGGGGTAAATCCTCAGGAGGACAAGTGGTTAAACATGTATTGCAATATATGTGAACCAGAAATCTCTATTTTTTATTGCAGAGTCTGCTGGAAAGGGTATATACCAGTGTGCAGAGGGTTCCTTCAGAATTTCTAGGGTCAATATGTGATTACACCCCTTTAGTACCAGATAGTGTATGTACAAGCTATTGGGATTTAAGCACAGGTATATCTTGTTTGTGTGTAAATTTTAGACATGTTTCATAAAGAGATAGGCTGGCCATGCATTATACAATTTTCTTGAGATTTTTTCCTGAGATTTACCAAAAACCATATAAAATGAGGTCAAACCTAAACAACAATTTCAATTGTATCCAATTAGGCAGGCCCTTGCACTACATAGTTGAAGGTAAATCTAAAGGAAATTGGTCAGAAATTGAACAGAAAATTGTATAATGTATGGCCAGCCTTACATGCAGACTGCATGAATGGGTTGTGAAATCATTAGCAGCACTGAACAGTATTGTGTGTCTGCGCAGACACATCAAAATACCTTATACAGCCCTTTCGAAGCAAATATATACTTCCCAAATTTTATTAGACGATAACATCAATCCTGTTTAGTGTAAACATGTAATTCACACATGAAAATTTCTGATTGCCAGTGCACATGCACTGATTCCCAGCAAGTGATGCTAAAAAAAAACTCACTATGGTGCAGGGGCAGACTGACTATTTCGAAGCTCAGGCACTGCCCGAGGGCCCGGGGTCAGTAGGGGGCCCCATGAGATGCCCCCGGTACCTTTTTCATAGGCTTTTTTGAGTTTGGGCAAGGACACAGGGGCCCCATGATCCCCTATTGCCCGGGGGCCCCATGAGTTGTCAGTCCACCCCTGCTATGGTGACGTGATTCTGAACCATATCATTACTATAACATACAACATTACTGAAGGATGTCCCTCTGCCTTGAGGATGGGGTCATTTTGTCGATATTACATTGTTTTCTCAAACTGTCTGCACACAAGCAGGAATTCCCTATGACCCAAACTGATCCATTTCCAGAACAAAATACACTGCAGGTATTAGATATGGCTTCAGTGACTAAGGTTAATGAATGCAAAAATGTTTGTAGGTTATACAGATCGTCTAGGGCACGGGTGTCAAACTGGCGGCCCTCCAGCTGTTTCCAAACTACATGTCCCATGAGGAATTGCAAGATTGACAGTTACAAGCATGACTCCCAAAGGCAGAGGCATGGTGGGACTTGTAGTTTTGCAACAGCTGGAAGGCCGCCAGTTTGACACCCCTAGTCTAGGGGAACAATTGAGACTTACTATTTTTAGGGGCCCTCAACTTAGCTGTATATGTGCATTTGTAATTTTACCGAATAGGTGAGTTATATAGTAAGTTCCAGCTTACCACTTTTGGCACCTGCCAGAAACTGTTTCTGACTCAAACATTGTTATGAATAAATGGTAATCCTGCAGCAATAGATGCGGGACTACTAATCATAAGTCCCCATAGCAAAAATGTGCATGTCCCCTTCCATGGAAAGATTGCACACTTAATAACAAGCTCTTCTGTCACTGCTGCCTATTGGCCGAAATTGCCACTTGCTTGTTTTGTACTTGGCCATTATAAAATAAAAAAATCCATTTATTATGTCACAGTCAACAGCCAGAAATTTTTCACTGACAGACTACACACAAAGTGTTTTTTACTAGGCCACAATGGAACACAGTGTCACGTACCTGGTGTGAGAGGCCAATGGAGAGAGGGCTTCCCTTGCGGCTAAGTTCCAAGCTTCCCTGAGAGTGGGACAGCAGGAGTCAGGCCCAAAGTGGCACAGGTCGCCTGTAGGAGTGCTTGTTGGTGGTCCACCCAGGAGCACAGCTGATGCACTGAGATGAGGTCTGCAGACAGATGGCGCCTGTGCGAGGTATGCAAGCCCTTCCGGGGAACAGAGGATTACTAGATAGCTGGTTCAAAGCCAAAGTCCGGTACCGGGTGGAGATCAGAGCAGATGTAGTCAGATGGGATAGCCAAGGTCATACACAGAGGAGTAAGAAGGAATATCCGTTAGACAAGCCGGGGTCAGGTCGGGGTTACACAGAGCAGACAGGTCCAGGAGCAAGCCAAGCTGGTAACAGGAAATCACAGATCACAGTAGCACAGGAACAGGAAATCACAGGTTACAGTAGCACAGGAACAGGAACAAGGTACTGGGGAGCCAGAGATTAATCAGCACCTGAGAGTAGTGCAGGGCTTCCTTATGAAGGCCGTTTGGCACCAAATTTGAGCCGATGTGAACTTCTGCGGCCATGCAAGGTACTGGCAGGGGTGCCAGGTCTCCTAACACCTCTGCCGAGGATGGAGCCCTGACACACAGAGAGAATTAGCAGTGTTATATATTAATTAATTAGAATTACATTTTCTAGGGCCACAAGTAAAAACCAGAAAAACAGAACTAATATGTTGGGTAGTACAGCATGTACCCCTTTTTAGCTAAGGTGCTATGTCAGAGGAGTGCATATTACACATTGAATAATCAAATAAAAGTGTATTCCTAGAATGGAAAATGAAAAAAACTATACAGATTTACAGTCACAGTTTTTAAGTCTTTCTTGGATAGGCCACAAATTTCTAAGGAAGAATGCAAGCACATGGAACTGGAAATAAAAAGTTCATGGATTTTGTTAGGACACTAAAGATGGAAAAATGTTACAGATTTACACAACAGATATTAAGCCCGTATCAACAGGTATCAGTTTCAGAGTGATTGACCATACTATTTCTGGAAAAAAATTATTGTCTTGGTTCAGAGACTTAAGAGGCCAAAATGTTATAGTTCAGCACCACAGATATTAAGCCTGTATAAACAAGCTGCAATTCCTGAACAAATGAGCAAACATACTGTATTGCATGTGGAACAAAATAAGTTATTTTTCAAAATATTGAAAAATTAGTTTTGTACCACAGCTATTAAGAATTTTTTGGCTGCAATTTATTAGAGATCGAGCAGACATATTTCTGAAAAGATTAAATTAGTTTATTTAAAATTTAAAAGAGAAAAAAGTCTTAACTGAATAAGTCATAATTTCTGAGGGAGAGCACAAGCACATTGCAGGTAGAATTTAAAAATGAGTGTCTTGTTTTGGAGACTAAAAAGGCAAATATTTACAGATTTGCACCTCAGATATTAGTCTTGCATGATCAGGTTGCAATTTTTGAGTGACTGAGAGAGCATGTTGCATCTGGAATTGAAAAAAGTAGGATCTTTTGTGTTAAATTGAAAATAAAAAATACAAACTGATTTTCACCAAGCCTCTGAAACCTTTATTGGCTGGGTCACAATTTATGAGGAAGAGGGTAAGCACAATGCATGGAGGATTAAAAAATGATTTTATTTAAAAAATGACTGAAGATGGGAAAAGGTTAAAGATCACAGATATCAACGCTGTATAGACAGGCTGCGGTTTCTGAGTGAATGAGCATGCACATTGCATCTGGAACAAAAAAAGTAGGCTCCTTTTGTGTACAATTGAAAAAGTGAACATTAAACATAATTGAACCACATTTAAGCCTTCACTGGAATAAACTGCAATTTCTGGGGGAAAGAGTAAGCAGATTGCTTCTACAAGAAAAAAAAATGGTTGTAGATGTAAAAAAATTATTTTTTCAGTCATTTCACAGACTGAAAAAAGAAAAATGTGAGAGACTTGCTTCTAAGCTTGCAATCCTTTTCAAGCAGGCCACTTTTTTTCTGAGGGAGAGAGCAATTAGATTGCAGCTAGAAATAAGCAACTATTTTATTTTTATTTTTCCAAGAATAAATCAAGGAGGTATATGTTTAACAGATTTGCACCACAGCTTTTAAGTCTGTTTGGACACGATGCTATATGTCAGCCATACAACAAGCAGATTGCATATTTCAGACAAAATAGAGCAATTTATTCACAAACAGCAGAGAGAAGCAATATACAGAATTGCAGCACAGCTTTCATACCCTTTTAGATAGGCCGGCAATGCTGATTTAGAGAGCAGGCAGATTGCATCTGGGGCAAAAAAAATTATTTTATTTAAAATTTAAAAAAATAAAAATGTAATGAGTAGAAGTACACAATATAAACCTTTTTGAATAGACTTCTGTTTCTGAAGAAAGGGACCAGCAGATTTCAGCAATAGATATACAATTAAATTAAAGTTTTGTGTAAACATAATATATAATATAAATGTTGAACAGATTTGCTGTAAAGCATCTCATCCTTATTTATGGGAGAATTTTTGAGGCAGAGATTAGGCTTATTTCAGTCAAAAATTATTACCTAAAACTATTGTTTCAGACACAGGTTTTAAAAAAATTGCGGATATTTTCAGAACAAAATCTCATCCTTTTTAATAGCAGGCACACTTGGAGGCAGAGGGTTGGCTTTTTCAACCAGAAATATGAATACAAATTAATATTATAGAAAGTCACTATATGAAACCCAGAGGGATTAGCTCCGAAAAATTTTACTTTTATTTTTATAAGTGGTGATCTTGGAATCAGGGAATAGTCCTATTACAGCATTAAAAACAGACATGAACATTTATTTCTTTAAGACACCACATGTATTTTGTATGGATTTACTTAGCAGAATCTTATCATTTTCCATGGGAGACAATTTGAGAAATTTCATTCAATAAATATTGAATGAAACTGTATTCTTTACAAAAAAAATGAAATTATTTTCTGAACTGAATCAAAATTTTTAACATGTGATAAGGCTTTGGAGGCATATATCATCCAGAAATTAAAGAAAAACTTTATTTTTCCAAAGACACTGCATAAACATTGTACACATCTGAGGCACAGTATCATCATTTTTAACAGAATGCACCTTGTGAGGCAGGAAGTAGACATTTAGGTAGATATATGAAATTAAAATGTGGTTCTTTAAATATCATATAAAAATTAAACATATTTGATGCACGGAATCACATCTTTTTAATCCAAAGAAATTTCAGAAGCAGAGAAGTGATATTTCATCCAAAAGCAAGCAATGACTCTTTTTCAAAGATACTATGCTTTAATGATACTGATGTGCTGCACTAAATGTCTTTTTTTAATGGGAGAATTATTCCTAATACAGCCATATTAATAAAAAAATATAATAATAATAATAATAATAATTTTAGAGACAGGTTAAAAATTATAAATATTTCATGCATATAATAGTATCCTTTTAACTACTTGAGCTCCAAAAGGTTTTATCCCCTTCATGACCAGGCCATTTTTTGCTATTGGGCACTGTGTTATTTTAACTGGCAATTGCGCAATCATGCAACAATGTACACAAATTAAATTTCTATCATTTTTTTCTTTCTTTTGGTGGTAGTTGCAGTTGTGTACCCCATTCTGTATTCTTCTTGGCTCCCCATAGAGGTGCCTAGGGTGCCCTGTGTCACGAGCAGGGGTCAGGCTCAAAGACCAGTTGCTATAGCCGTGGAAAGGCTCACCTGAAACCAGCAGGATAGGTACACAGGCAGGTCACCGTGGCAGAGGAGTGGGATCACCCGAGGTGCGGAGTCTAAGTACCAACCGGTGTTCACCAGAGCTCCTGATGGTGGAGATGGAATTTGCTGCGTGTTAGCACCAGGTCTCGGTCCACAGGATCACCCCACCAGGAGGTGAGCAAGCGGAGGTCCAGTAGTGTATAAGCAGGTAAGGATCAAACGGAAGCGTGGTCAGTAAACAAGCCAAGGTTGGTAATGAGCAGTCGCAGGTTGGCATCCGGCAGTGGTAGCAAATGACTGGTAGCAAAATATGGATAATAACAGAGATGAAAAGGAGCAAGATACTGGCTGGAGAGCACAATAATCTGGCAAACAGGAAGTGCAGATACCTGGCTTATATCAGGA